GGGGGGGGGCACGGTGGGGTGCCGGGGACCGCCGGTCACGTACCGTACGGTGCACCCGGCCGTGGCGTTCTGACACACCGTGGCACGGTGACAGCGGCTGCTGAGCTCGAATGACCCGGGTGAGTCAGACGGTGCTCAGCGGCCTTGAACCCTCCGAGTACCCCGCGGTACGGTACCGTAACCAGCCTCGGACTGAGTGCAGCCGCCGCTGTGAGGCTAAGTTGCACCCGGTGGCACCCGAGGCTGTGGGGCCCCCCGCCGCCCGGCCCGGCGGCCAGGGCCTGCCAGGCTGGAGTCCGTCACGGATCAGCGGTTCAACGGTTCAACCGGCCCGTTTCAACGGTTCGCACGGCCGCCGGGCCCTATCGGCATACAGTACCGTACGGTAGTAGACGGTGAGACGGTTACTGGGCCGCCGTCGGCCCGGTGCCGGGCTACGCCAGGCAACGCCAGGCAGCACTGACGGACACATATAAGGCTTTTACTCAAAGTTAAGTTAAAACTCAGTACGAAGACAATCATATAAGGCAGTCGCTATGGCGTTGGCTTCTGCTCTTTGCCTGTCCGTTGCGCTCGCTCTCGGGCAAGGAAGCCACGCGTTCTCCACGTCTCCCTCCTCTCCCTCCTCCTTGTTCAAAGCTGGATTCAACTCTCTTGCTACGTCCAAGTCAAGTGGGCTGAGAACCATGGCGCGCAAGAGTCCTATCCTCTGCTCCCTCGACCTTCAGGCAAAACCCTACGCGGGTAAGGTGGAGCGCGCACCAGCCATCACCCCGAAATCTCCTCTGCCTACCCTCTATGTTTACGATCACTGCCCTTTCTGCATCCGAGCGAGGATGATCTTTGGTCTCAAGAACGTTCGCCATGAGCTTCGTTTCATGGCCAATGACGAGGTCGACATCCCGACGGGCCTTGTTGGGAAGAAGATCGCGCCTATCCTTGAGATGAAGTCGATCGGGCTGACAATGCCAGAGTCCATGGACATTGTGAAGAGAATCGACGAGGATGAGTCATTCGGAGCTCCAATTCTCCGTCCAGCCAGTGGAAGAAAGGATCTGTCGGCTTGGCAGGAGAAGCATTCCGAAACATTCCGCCTTCTGCAGCGCCCTCGCTATGTGGCCACCGGAATTCTCCCGGAGTTTGCCTTCTCTTCCGCCCGTGATGCTTATGTCAAGAACCATCCCGTTGGCGACTTCACGAAGGCAGACTGGAAGGACGACAGCAAGTGCAGCCCTGAGTTCAGGTGGGGAGAGTATCGCAAGGCCATGCAGAGGACTGCAGAGCTTCTTCCTGTGGCAAATGATGCCATCAAGGAGCTCGATCAGCTCATCTTCGCTCCTGAGCACTGCACAGAAGGCGGCTTGTCGTATGATGACATCGACCTGTTTGGGAGACTTCGCTCTGTGACCATCATCAAGGATCTCGTCTTGACGGAGAAGGTGACCATATCTGTGTTATACGTGATGATGTGCTTGTATTGCTTGTATTCTGCGTTTTATTGGTTGGTCAAGACGGCTGATTTGACAACAGGTGGCTGCGTACTTGGATTACATGTCAAGAAAATGCGACATCCCGCTCTACGACCCAGTCGCAATCTAAGCTCGAGCATCCACTGTTCCTTTCAGCAGTTGCGAATAATGTTGAAATAGCATGATTCTGTTGAAAGATGAGATGAACATTCACACGGTAGTATTGCATTCCTAACTCCACATTGACTTGATGTTTGAATTACTTTGCATTCTGCGAGAGTAAAGGGTTGGAAATGCATCCAGCAAGACATTTCAAGCCTCACCTTGTCGTATATCCAAGGATGGGCACGCTTCACTTCCTCAACTTCCTCAGGCGTGTAATCCTTTCGGATGTTAAACCTATGGGTGCGCAGTAGTCATGGTGACATGATGACATGTTATCGTCCTGCACTACCTATCCCTTATGTCATCCGGTGTCTTGCACTTCTTGATTTCATCTGCTACCTTCTTGCACATAAGTTCAAGAAGGTTCTGCAGAATTTGAATCCGTCAATGTACAGAAATACGATTGTGGAGAGCACCTTAATGTCCAGAAAATTGGCGGCCAGTATTGTCTGAAAGATGATCTCATCGCTCTGCTCTTGGAACTCTTTGTCAAACTCGTTGATGACCTGGTATGGTGCACGTCAACGACGCGATGGAGCGTAAGGAGCGAGAGTTCACCTCATCGTCTGCGCCAGTGTTGTCGAACTCCGCATGCTTCTTCAGGTATTCAATCACTCGGTTCATGATGTTCAAAGTGCAGCTCTTGTCCGCAAGAGGAACCACTTCATTGACATCTCCAGTGTCTGAAAAGGATGCATCACCGACCCCCGTGAACATCAATTGCAAAGAGCACCTTCGATCATCATGTTGATGACTGTTGACAGAGACAGACAAGGACCGCAGCAGGCACAAGATCAGTCTGAAGATATCGACAAGAGGAATTGATATCACTCACTCGCAGATCGTGTAGCAATGCTCTTGGGGATCTTGATTTGATGCTTGTCATATGTCTCAAGTGTTATCTCAGGATCCGCTTCGGACATGGTCTTCAATCTCAAGAGTCTTGAAGTTCACTGGAAGCATAGAATCAGCCAAACAGAGTGAAGGGCTGAAATGAGTCGAATCGACATGAATCCTTCATCTCTGTGCTGTCTAAACCTCATATCCCTAATGACATTGTGTCCTGCACGACAAGTGTTCGATTGATGTTTGATAACTTCCCTGCGACCACTGATCCTTGCTATACTACAGACAGGGATCATGATACAATCAAATCTCATCTACATACTTTCCAAACACCCAGCTACAACACAGTGTCTGACCACCGCACATCACCACAGCTCCTTTCCTGTGCCAGGCAGTAGCTTCACCTTCAACAAGGAAGCACTTGCACCTCCCCTCCATGACCCTTTCTCCTTGTCAATGCCTACTATATCTCATAAAATCATGTTCCCATCGTCAACATCGCTTCCTTATCCCCTCTCATCGTCCCCCCCCGCTTCCTCCGGTGCTCCTTCAGGCCATTGTTCCTTCCCGCTGACCCCGTGAACCCACCCCCGCCCCTTTCGGGTAAACCTTCACCCCACCCTCCTCTTGAAGTACCCTACTCGGTGCGAATGACCACTCCGCACATTTCCATCTCATGTACCCCACTAAAACCAGGGATACATACCCCTATTTCCAGTACCCTACCACACTTTTGTGGAGTTCAACATACCTACCCCCCTCATTCCATCCCTTCCTTGCCACGAGCCCTTCTCAATAGACCGCTCGTCACTACCCCCTACCTACCCCCCACACCCCTACATAGCCCTGGACACTACCCATACAATATCCCTTCAAATTTGGTTAAATCATGGGGTAGAATTACTACCTTCTAGAAAAGCTGAGGTCTGTAGTATCCAGAAAACAACGAGTGGGTAGGGGTGTAATTTTCAAATAAATATATGAAATTTTAAGATCAAATTTGAAAGTTAAATATATTACAATACTTTCACTGCGAAATCAAGTTTCAATCAGGGGCTAGTAGCGCCGCGGCCCGGGCCGGGCCGCGCGCCGGTGCCACTCACTGATTGAACTTGAAACTCGAGTCACGTCGGAGGCCCCACTGAGATCGGACCGGCATTCAACTGATCGGATACTGTCCTCCGAGTCACGGTGGAGCGGCGCCGCGTAACTTAACTTTGAGTAAAGGACTTACGACGGCAGCGGCACTCCGAGCTCTGGCATGATTGTCCTCCGGCGATACCGTCTAATTTTAACTTAACTTTGAGTAAAGGCCCCTCAGCCCGGGGGGCCTCTGAGCCGACCGTCCGGCCCGGTCTCCGACGAGTCGTTGATGGTACCGACCATGCTATGATTGATGAAATGACCTTTTTTTACCGGTACCGTTTGTTGACTCGGAGGGGGGGGTACGAGTGTGACCCGGCGAAGACTCTGAAGTAGGGGTGGTGGGGTACCGTAAAGTTGTTCGCTGCCACCCGGTCCATGGATCTCTATCTCCGGGTGGCCATTGGGGTGAGGGTGGTGAAAAGGTCAAGGGTGGGGGTGGGGTCCCATGAAAGGGTGAAGACGGACCGGTGGTATGCTGTATTTGTCAAAAGAGTACTGGGTCAGATTGAGAGACTGGGAAGGAGCCTGTTGGGTGGGTAGTTGAAAGGGGGAAAGGGGGGTACGTCAGACGGGTTCTCAAAAGAGTGGCGCGAGATCTTGAGGTAAACTTGGGGGTAGCCGTAGAGGGTATCAATATAATTTTAACGCACGGCTGGTGGGGCAAGGGGTGGGGTGGGGGTACTACCGTAGTGCCGTGCTGAATCGGTAGGGTGTAGGGGGTACTGGGTATGAAAATCTAGTAGTAACTTCTACGAGGAAGGGAAGTAAAGAAGCCAAGGGGTTGAATGGGTGGGGTATATAGGCTAACTGGAGGGGGTGGGTGGAGTAGAATTAGGGACTTTTGGGGGTGGGGTAGGTGGTTCTCTCGGTTGTTGATGCACTGCGGTTGCCGACGGGGGATCGGACAAGAGAGATGGAGAAGGATGGATCGACGATGGCGCGCGGGAGACAGGGAGGAGGGGAAGGAGATAGAATGTTTCATGAGAAGATCACGAGTGGGCACATTGGAAACAAGGCGGTTGAAGGAGATGCAGGGTGTGTGGTTCTTGAGTCAGGCACTGCCGTAGGTTCAGGTGGAAGGAGCGAGGGATAATTGGTAGTTCATGCAGTTCAGGACAACTACGAGAAGGATGACAACTTGAATAGACGAGAGGAGCGATGGGCAACAGCACTTGAATAGACGAGCCTAGACAGGCGGAGGTGTCACGGTAGCAGTCTTCGTTGTTAAGCTTCAGTTGAGTGACGAAAAGCAGTAGGCTAGATAGGCGGCAAATCTACCAAACAAAATCCACCGAGAGTGTTCTGGAAGGGTTAGAGAAAGAAATAGAGGCCTACCCCTTCATTTCTGGTGTCAAGACGAGGATATATGTATATGGACATCAATAGTCGTGAAGAGATTTTAGGTGATCACAATAGATCAAGCTGATCAAAAAAATGTTTGAGCCATGTGAGAATAGATGGAAAAGAAATAAAGGACATACATTCCAAAACTTTGATTCAAATACAAACAAAAAGATGTCGAGAACGGGAGAAAAGGGAAACAATGAGAAGTGTTTGAATGAGTTGTGGTGTGGTGTTTGGTACAGAGGGGGTTTGACGGCGTTTTGATTTTGACCTGCAGGATGTGTGTAAATACGTCCAGTTCAAGAGTGTCAAGGGCGCACTGATGGATTCCTTCCTTGTTTGATGGCATGCTTTTGAGCATGTGGTTTCTGACGATCTCAGACGCACGAGGATCGAAAGGAAATGGAGGAACATCACGAACAATCTGAGCAACGAAGACGACCAGCTGTTCTCTCACCTCTAGGCAAAGCTTCAAAGCAGATGTCTGCTCTTGACACCAGACCTGAAAGTACTGATGCCATTGAGCGAGGCAGCAATCATGCTAGTGAGTTCTGGCCTGAAGGAAAAGTGAGTCCAAACCTTGACGAGAGCCCGCCCGAGGGGTTCAACGGCGAGAAGAGAGACGACAATGCAGTTGCAAGGACCCCTTCCTTTGCCATGGTTCACAGTCCCGGCTCAGTGCGCAGTCACGGCTCTCTGCACTCGCGATCGTCGCACAAGAGCACGGCTTCAAAGTTCTCGTCGTCGCTTTCCGCGCTCTCACAGAAGCGGCGCAAGCAAAGAGAGACCCTCGCTAACGTCTGGCCCGACCCCCACAAGTACAACCCGAGGAGCCTGTACATGTTCTCCCTCGACAGCAAGGTGCGAAGGCTGTTGATCCGGGGGATAGAATGGAAGTGGTGGGATCGGACCGTCCTGTTTCTTATCCTCCTCAACACAATACAGCTGGCAATGTACGAGCCCTACGACAACCCAACCCTTCGCCCTGGCTTCCACAAGAGGGACGTCCTCGACATCTGTGGCAAGGCCTTCTCAGTGTTCTTCACCCTTGAGTGCATAGCCAAGGTCATGGCCCTGGGATTTTGTGTCGGGCATCACACGTACCTAAGTGACGGATGGAACTACCTCGATTTCTTCATCGTTATCGTGGGACTTCTGGACTTCATGCCGATGAACTCAACAGGGAATCTGAGCTCCCTCCGATCCCTCAGGGTGCTCCGGCCTCTCCGCGCCATTACCAAGTTCCCCGAGCTGAAGTTTCTGGTGGTTCTGCTCTTGCAGTGCATCCCGAACCTGTCCAACGTCTTTGGGATCTGCCTCTTCATCTTCTTTGTGTTTGGGATCCTCGGGGTCCAACTGTTTGCGGTAAGCAAGCTGGCCTCGCAGTATGGGGACTGTCACTCATGCTCGCACACAGGGGGCGCTGCGAGGACGGTGCTTCGACATCGAGTCTGGCATGGCGGGAGGAGACATCTGCTCCGGTCTGTTTCTCTTCCGTGTGGCCCTCCTGACCTCCTGCGATGTTGCAACAGAGGGAGGAGGCATGGCGGAGTGCAGCGATGGGATGCAATGCCTGCTGCTGGGGACGAACTTGGGCCGAGGGGCCATCAGCTTCGACGACATCGGATCAGCTGTTCTGACCATCTTCCAGACGATGACGCTTGAGGGCTGGGCGGACATCATGTACTCGCTGCAGGATGCGGTGAGCGTTTTTAGTCGTGTGCTCTGCTCGTCTCATGGCTCCTCCTCTCCCTTCCTCTCCCTGCTCTTCCTGCTCTTCCTGCTCTCCCTTTTTCTTCTCCTCCTCCCTCAGGTCTCGTTCTGGGCCTTCGCCTACTTCGTTGTCCTGGTAGCTATCGGCCCGATGATGGCAGTACAACTCTTCCTCGTCGTCATCTCCACCCAGTACGAGTCCAACGTCGAGGCGCAGCAGGTATGTGCCGGGCTCAATCGCCTCCTGCCTGACGGCTGTGCTTGCAGCTGTCGGCCAAAGACGCGGAGGAGGATCTCGAGGCCAGCGAGGAGGCGCATGCCGGCACTCACGAGCCTCACCAGGTTGGAGAGAACAAGTCGGGCGAGGAGGGGAGAGGTGGCAGCCACCTAAACGGAGGAGGAGGAGGAGGAGCGGGGGGGGGCACCTCTGTGGTGTATGAGTCCAGGAAGTTGGGAGAGATCAACGAGCACGGAATCAGCCCTCTGATCGTCAAGGAGGACGCTTTTTCTCCTTCCAGCCCTCTGAATGGAGGGGACTTGCCTCGGCCCAAGTCACGGCCGGGAGGAGTGGCTGAAGCCGTGGGGATATCAAGGAGGATGTCGGTAGAGACCAGGAAAAGAAAGAAGGAGTGGGACGAGAAGACGCTCTACCAGAAGTTCATGTGGAAGACTCGCCTGCTCGCCAAGTCCGACTCTCTGCTCAACTTCATCGTCCTCATCATCGTGCTCAACACGCTGGGCATGGCGATCGACCACTCGTGCAACTTCTGCGAGAAGGAGTACTGCAGGAAGTTCAAGGGATCACTGGAGCTCTCCAACATTTTCTTCGCCTTCATCTTCGTCGGGGAGCTCTCGATCAAGGTTGTCGGCCTCGGCCTCGTCAAATTCGTCAGCAACGTTGCCAACCTCTTTGACGCCGTCATCGTCATCTCCTCCCTCGCCGAGATTCCTGGCATCCTGTCCACCTTCTCTTGCTACAACCAACCCAAGCAGTGCGTCCAGTACTTCGACTGCGAGGGAGGGGGAGGGGGTCTTTCCGTCCTCCGAACGTTCAGGCTGGTCAGGATCGTGAAACTGCTGCGAGCCTTTCCCGACATCCAGAAGCAAGTGGCTGTGCTGGCAGACGTCATGAAGTCTGTCTTCGCCCTCGTCATCCTCATCCTCATCGCCCTCGTCGTCTTCATGGTGCTCGGTGCCAACGTCTTCGGGGGTATGCTCGTGGCCGAGTGGGACGCAGGGGCGCTAGGGCTGGGCAAGCAGGTGTTCCTTGAGTTCCCGCACGACGACGGGGTGACGAGGTACGGGAGGATAGTTGAGATTGACTTCTTCAACCGATCGAGCACACCATGGAGGGTGGCGGTGGCGTACGGCAAGGAGGAGGCAGTCAGGAGCCAGCTCGGGCTAGGCAAGGACGGGGAGGTGTGGGCGTGTACCTCGGACGAGCCGATCCTCGCTACACCTGTGATCGTCGGATTCCCTCCGAGGCTCAACTACGACGACATGGTGAACTCAGTCATCACAACCTTCCAGCTGGTGACGGCAGAGGGTTGGAACGACAACTTGTACGACACGGTAGCCAACGTGGGGGCGATGGGCGCGGTGTACTACATCATCCTCATCACTATCGGGAACTGGATGCTGCTGAATCTGTTCATCGCGATCCTCATCACAAAGTTCAACCAGCAGAAGAAGCTGGCGCTGATGATGAACCTGGAGCTGATGCAGCAGAGGCTGCTCGAGAAGCTGGGGCAGCTGGACGAGGGGGACCTGGCGAGCAGAATCGAGGATCTCTTCTCCTCCATCGACAAGGACAACTCGGGAGAGATCGACATGTACGAGTTCGGGGAGGCGCTGGAGCAACTGGAGGTCAAGCTGAGCCCGAAGCAGCTGTTCAACCTGGTGAGGCAGTACGACACGGACAGGAGCGGGAGCATCGACTTCGAGGAGTTCCTGGCGATGATCAAACAGCTCCTGCAGGAGGCGAGGGTCTCCCTCTCCTCCTCCAACAACCTCGACCGACTCGAGGAGGACGCGAGGAAGGCGCATGCTGAAAAGCACCAGGACGACTCTGACGAGCCGACGGTGCAGGAGGAGCAGCTCGAGCGGTCGCTATTCTGTCTCGATGCCCACAACCCCTTCCGCGTCCTCTGCCTTGTCATCGCCAGCAACAAGCGCTTCGAGCAATTCATCCTGCTCTGCATCGCAATCAGCACCCTCTGCCTTGCCATCGACAACCCCAACATCGGGGAGGGGAGCGGCTTGCAGAAGTTTCTCTCTGGTGCAGACCTCTTCCTCAACATCGCCTTCACCTTCGAATGTGTCACCAAGGTGCTCCTGTTGCTCCTGTTGCTCCTTCTTCCCGTTCATCACCTCTATCTTCACTCTTCCTCCCTCCTCGTCCTCCTCCTCCTCTTCTCCCGTACAGTCCCGTCCTCCAGTCTTCACCGCCATGAGCTAACGAGCTACTTCAGATCGTCGCTTTCTCCTTCAAGCGCTACATCAAGAGCACCTGGAACCGCCTGGACTTTCTGATCGTCAGCACCAGCCTCATCGACATGGCGCTCACCATGGGGCTTCAAGGACAGAATGTCGACCTGAGCATGCTAAAAATCTTTCGTATCTTCCGGTTTGATCCCCCCACTCCTTCCCCCCCCCCCCCCCCCCCCCCCTTCTCCTCCTCCTCCTCCTCCTCCTGTCTTCCTGCTGCTACTGCTCCGCTCCTCCTCCTGTTCTGCTCCCTCTCGTACTCCTGCTCCCTCTCCTATCTTGACCCTCCCCCATTCCCCCTTCCCCAACCTCCTCGTCAGAATCCTCTTCTTACTTCCCCTCCTGCTCCTGCTCCTGCACTTGCTCCTCCTGCACCTGCACCTGCTTCTCCTCTCCTCGTCTCGCTCTGATTTACTTTCCGCAGAGTTTTTCGTGCGTTGAGGCCGCTGCGCATCATCGCCAAGGCGAGAGGATTGCAGGTGAGACGTCAGTAGAGCAAGAGCAGGAGATAGGGGAGAGGGGAGAGGAGGAGGATCAGGAGGATTAGGAGCAGCGGCAGCGGCAGCGGCAGCGGCAGCGCAGCAGCAGCAGCAGCAGCAGCAGCAGCAGCAGCAGCAGCAGCAGCAGCAGCAGCAGCAGCAGCAGCAGCAGCAGCAGCAGCAGCAGCAGCAGCAGCAGCAGCAGCAGCAGCAGCAGCAGCAGCAGCAGCAGCAGCAGCAGCAGCAGCAGCAGCAGCAACAAGAGCAAGAGCAGCAGCAAGAGCAAGAGCAAGAGCAGCAGGATGAATCTAAGTGCTGTGGCAGGTGCTTGTCAAGACGCTCCTAGGAGCGTTGAAGCCTGCAGTCAACACTCTCGCCATCGCCATCGCCTTCTTCAGCGTCCTCGGCATCCTGGGCATGCAGCTGCTGTCGGGGAAGATGGGGTCATGCAACGACGGGAGGATCTACCATCGGTTCGACACGGAGACGGAGGAGGCGACGTACATGGGGTGCCGGGGCTTGCAGGAGGACGGGAGCACGCGGGACTGGAGCACGTACGAGATCAACTTCGACAACTTCTGGCAGGCCCTCCGCTCCATGTTCATCATCGCGACGCAGGACAACTGGCCGGGCCACATGTTTGCGGGGATCGACGCCAAGAGCTCGCTGCTGGGGCCGTGGGAGGGCAACAACAAGGCCATGTTCCTCTTCTACCTCGCCGCCGTCCTCGTCTCCGCCTTCGTCGTCGTCAACATGTTCATCGGCGTCTTCGTCGACGTCTATAACGAGAAGTGCGAAGTCACTCCCCCGTCCAAGGTAGTCGGACTCCTGCTCCTGCTCCTGCTCCTGCTCCTGCTCCTGCTCCTGCTCCTACCCCTGCTGCTGCTGCTGCTGCTGCTGCTGCTGCTCCTGCTCCTGCTCCTGCTCCTGCTCCTGCTCCTGCTCCTG